TGTAGTAGACCCTCTTGACTTTTAATATGCTGTTGCTGTATTGTGAGTTTGGAAACCAGACAGATGTGCTTATTAGGATTGTTTGTGAAGTAAAAATAAATAGGCCCTTGGAAAGAAGTTTGAGGGGGCTGTCCTTTAGAAGCTCACATGAGCTTTAGTCCTTGGAGTTTGTATCACCAATTTTGGCTGCTCTGGGTGAGACGTATTTTTGTTTTCTCAAATTTGGACCAGATGGCTGGAGAAGGGAATAGATAATTGCTGTATTATTTATGTCTGATGTTCACCACTTTTTTTCTTCCCATTTTCATGAACCCCACCTCTTATACCATCCATGTGTATTATTCAACACACCCTAGCTCTCTTCCTTCAATTTCTTTAATTCTTCCCTCATTGATGTCTTTTAGTAATTATATAATTTTAATATTCTTTTCAAGTTTTATCAAAGAAATGAAGTTACAAGTTCTATTTCCAACTTTTTCCAGCATTTTCTTTTTCTTTTTCTTTTTTTTACACCTGTAAATTAGATTAGTAACACTGATTTGTCTACCTTACTACCCTTCAAAAGATTAATGGGTTGATATTTATAAAATACCTTAAGACCTTTTGTAAGGGAGAAAACTAGAATTTTTAATGTGATTTCTCTGTTTAGTCTTCATTTTTTTCTGCTTTATTCTTTCCCAAAAGTTAACTTCTTGAAGTACAAATTTATTAAGACTCTCTTCTATTATATCCCTTGTTTATCTCTCCTGCATTTTGAAAGATAGTACAGTAGTCTTTCTTCATTGACATCTTCTTACAGGTATTCCTGCTGTGATTTATAAATTCCCCAAAAGAATAGCCTTTGTCTTAATTTTCTATGTTCTTTTTTTAATTATATAATTATAATTATTTGTTCATCAGCTACACTTTTCTAAAGCTATTTTCCGATATACCTTCCTGTATTTTTACTTTCTCCTGTCTGTGTTTTGAATGCTGACTTGATGCATGACACTAAAATAGGCACTCCAGTGTGGGAGTTACCAAAAATGTACAATACAGAAGCTGTTCTAGGTAAAAGGAAGAAAGAGGCAGAAAAAAGCTTGAAATTAGAAGGCTTGATATGAAAAAATGGGGATGGTGCAGGAAAGCTCTCTGATAGGAAACAGACTCTGCCAGGTGCTGTGGGAGATGTAAATGAATTTCATTACCATGGGCCCAGTGCTCAGGTTGTTTTCTACTCTTATCAGCACTGACTTGTAAGTGAAGGCAAGCATGTGCTATTAGGTTTATAAAAGTCTGGACAATGGTTTTGGTTTTGGTTTTGCAGTGGGAATTAATGACTGATTTTCTTTACCCTAGATGAATTGTACAACAGAATAGAAATGCAGTCCAGTCTAACGAGCATTTATTAAGTGTTTGCTGTATTCATGGCACTTTACTGGTTACTTTTAATAAAATGATATATTTTATGGAATTTTCAGTGGTAATTTGATGCTAGTTGGAGGTGTATTGTATTTATTGGAGTCTTTGAAAAATGGCTAGATGACCACTTATAGGAGAGATTATGAAACAGATTTCTGCTGCTTCCTGAAGTCTGCTTTGATTTTCTTGCCTATCATTTATCTTGTAATTCTGTCTAAATTGATGCCTTTTTGCCCATTTGATTTGCACATTTCTGTCTCATAAATATTTAGCACCATCACCTCATCTATTATGTTAAAGATTGAATATTCATTTCGTCAGGGACTGTGTTAGCATCTATCCATGGTTAATCTAAAAGGGAAGTGGTATGGCAAGTTTTTTTACCATTGGGTCACAGGGACTAGACTGATTTGCATGAAACAATTAGGATACCATATAAAACTTTGTACTATTAAATGCCAAAATGTGCAGCCTCAACAGTAAATGCTGTCAGAATTCAGAAAAATGAGACATCATTGTGGGACAGAGTTCTCAAGGAAGGTTTTGTAGAAGAGGTGCCCCATCATCTGGGCATCGAAGGAGGGTTAGAGTTGGATAAATAAAAATGAGTAAGGAGGCCATTCAAGGTAAAGGAAATAGTGTGAGTAAAGACAGAGCAGAAGAGCGAAGTAGAGATCTTAATCTTGAGATTCTATCATTTACTGAACTATCCAAGCTACAGTTGTAATCCAGCTGTAGTTTTCTGTTCCAATGAATTGTCATGGCCCCTACTGTTTTGACAGTCCTGTATTTGTAGAACAGCACATTTGCCTATTGTAGATATTAAATAAATGGTGAATAATATTCACTACTCTTTTACTACTATCATTTAGGATGTTTTCTTCATTGGTTTCTCAATAATACAGTTATCTCTGCTTCCCATTTTCATCTTTTATATGAAAACAGGGGTGGGAGTGATGGCCTAGGAAGGACATATGATATACACAAATGTCAAAAAATATTTTTTTTAAAGATTCACTACATTTTTCAGATTTTCTGTAAAGCTTCCTGTCAATTAAAGTTGTCTAATGGTAGAATGGTTGCTCCATGAGGGAATGCATTCTTTCTCACTGAGTATATTTAAACAGAGGCTATGTAGGTGACTGTCAGGGATGCTTTAGAAGTGATTTCTGCTTTGTGCAATTGAGCTAAATGATTATCTGAGACTTTGGTGTTTTTATGAGTCTTTTATGAGTCTTTTAACCCTTGTGACCTTGTCTTGAATTTTGACATTTTTTCATATAATCAAGCATCTTTATAATATAATACCATTATCTTTTGCCTAAACTAGGGGTGGGGAACGTTCAGCCCTTTGAATCTTTGATTAAACTTTGTCCAGTCAAAGGGCTACACTTGAGGACCTGGCGGGCCACATGTGGCCTCGAGGTCTCAGGTTCCCTCCCCCAACCTAAACACACACTTACATGTAGCCATTATTCTTTCTTTTAGAATATTAATTCATGCTCTAATCATCCATTTTCCTGTCTTCTTAGCTAATATTAATTTCTACCTTATGTTTTCCCTTCCCTATTTTTCCTCCTATTTCTTTGGTTCTACCCTTGGTTTTCATTATTACCAGAATTCTTGGTCTCTCAGAGAATCACAAAGTCGAAGGGACCATTGAAATTATCTAGTATAATTTGTATCGAGATTCCTCTTGTACTTTCCCCTTCCTTCCCTCCATCTTCCCTGGGACCCTGCTCCTGCAACTGTTCTTTTTCCTTACACATTTTAAATCTTTCCCTCATCACTGACTCTTTGCCCTTTTTCTATACTTGATTTTCAGGTCTCCCCAACCAACCAAACAAACAAAAACAACCCAAAACAGAAAACTTTCCCCCAGCTTTTCTGACTCATCCAGCTGCCAGTCTCCCTTCACTGCTAATCTTCTTTGAAGAAGATCTTGGTTTTTTTTTTTTGTTTGTTTTTGTTTTTTGCTTTGTTTTGTTTTTGGCTAGGCAATGGGGTTAAGTGACTTGCCCAGGGTCACACAGCTAGTAAGTATTATGAGAATGAGGCCGAATTTGAACTCAAGTCCTCCTGAATCCAGGGCTGGTGCTCTATCCGCTGCACCACCTAGGTGCTTTCTTTTTGATTAAGACCACTCTAAAGTTTCCTTATCTGTAAAATAAGGGGGTTGGACTGAGTGGCCTTAGAGGTTCTGTCAGAGTCCAAAATCTATGTTGTTCTGCATATAACCAGTTCTTTCTCCCACTCTTGCCCTGACAGTTCACTTTATATTTATGATCACCTTCGGAATATCCTCCAGATTAACTTGTGGCAGATGGTCTTGTGAGATTGAACTTTGAGTCTTCCCTTTCACAAAACACATAAAAAAAAAACCCTGTCACCTGCTCTTGTTTTTCTAATCTTGTGTAATTTTTTTTCCCTTCCATTTTTTCAGAGCCTTTAAAATAGGCTTATTTTTTTAATTAATTTATTTTGCTTTATCAGCAATCACTTCCATAAGCTTTTGAGTTTTAAATTTTTCTCCCTCTCCCTACCCACCTCCCTCTCCAAGACGGCACACAATCTGATATAAGATATACATTTACATTCCTATTAAACAGTTTCACACTAGTAATGTTGTAAGTAAGAGTTAGAACCAATAGGAAGAACCACCAGAAAGAGGAAACAAAACACCAGAGAAGAAAAAAAAAAGAGCAAATAGTATACTTTGATCTGCATTCAAACTCCATAGTTATTTCTTTGGATGTGGATAGCATTTTCCATCATGAGGCCTTGTATTGCTGCCTATCAGTATTAGTCATCACACAACGTGGCTGTTAATATGTACAGTGTTCTCCTGGTTCTGCTCACTTCACTCACCATCAGACCATGCAAGTCTTCCCAGGTTTTTCTATAGTCCGGCTGCTCATTTCTTATAGCACAGTAGTATTCCATTACATTCATATATCACAGCTTGGTTAGCCATTCCTCAATTGATGGGCATCCTCTCAATTTCCAATTCTTTGCCACTACAAAAAGAGCTGCTATAAGTATTTTTGTACACATGGGTCCTTTTCCCATTTGTATGATCTCTTTGAAATACAGTCCTCGAAGTGCAAAATAGGCTTATTTTTATTCTGCTTGACCATGGCCTGGCAAAACTCTTTGTACATCTGTGAGAACATTAGATGATTATAAAATTATGCTTTCTTTTTGAAAACATTTTTATGTGGGTGTGTGCATACATGTGGCATAATGGAAAAAGTTATCTTGATCAACAATGGGGTATTAATATGGTATTTCTTAACATACTTATTTTATATTTATTCATAAAACATACAGTGTGCTTTACTGCCTACAAACCAGTCCCTGTAATCAGGAAGACCTCAGTTGAAATCTTGCTCTGACACATAGTATGTGACCACGAATGTGTCACATCACTTCTCAGTGCCTCAGGCAGCTCTCCTGCCTGCATCAGTGCATGGAGCTTCTAACCAAGAGTCCTGAATACAGAGGCATAGATGAATGCACAGGACTGATCGACAGTAAACTAACATAACAGCACTTCCTGTGCTCTTAAAGAACTAATTCTTTTGCTGTGTCCTTTCTAGGGAAAGCTACCCATGACAGGCACGACAATCACAAAGCTGGAAGACAGTGAAAACCACAAAAATGCATTTGAAATAGCAGGTGATGTAAACAAACTTTTTGTCAATACTGGTTTTCATCTGGATGAGGAAATTTAACATTATTACTTAATTGGTTTACTCATGTTATTTTTAGAAGTTAAAATGTGAGTAGGGCAAAATGTATCTGTGTGAGAGATCTACTTTTCCCGTGTCAAACTCTTATTTTCTTTCTGGCTCCAGGAAGCATGATTGAGCGGATATTAGTATCATGCAACAACCAGCAGGATCTTCATGAATGGGTGGATCATCTACAGAAGCAAACTAAAGTCACAACTATTGGAAATCCTACTATTAAGCCTCATTCTGTGCCATCTCATACTGTAAGGATTCATTCTGATGTGTGCATTTCCCTCATTTCAAACAAGATTAGGATTTTGATTGAGTTATATACCATTCAGCATTGTGGTATCTGTGTCTCCAGTAACAAGAATCAGATGGCTTAACTTCCATATTTATTTCTCTGCACAGATTTGCTTCAAGTACTATTTTGGCAGTTTGAACCATTCATCAGTCTTGTGAGACAGTCACATGATCCATTCATGGGCAAAGATGTATGGTACAGTAAAACTCGGTTAGGGAGCAGCCTTTCTTAGAAAGACATCTACCTCTTACAAAACACACACACACACACACACACACACACACACACACACACACTCACAAAATTTAAACTACCATGAAGGTGTTTTAAAAAGCCACCAGTCAAAAGATCACTTTTAGAAGTGCTTATGTAAATATATTTCACAGTACATTTTTTTTTAATGAGGACATCTCTATGTGGGGAGGAAATCAGATGATTTATTTTATCTAAATGTATTTTTATTCTTCTGTATGTGAGACTACTTTTTCATTTGCTCTTTCATTTGAAAAAACAAAAAACCCAAAATAACAAACCTCAGGTTGTTAGAATCTCGTGTTATTTTAGAATAGGTAAACAATAAAGTTTCAGGATTTTCATTTTCTCCTCACTTAAATTTTATTTCACATTTATATTTTAGCATAGGTCATTTTTTCATCTTTAATCTTAAAGGAATGGGGAAGTCTTTTGGAGATTATAGCTAGCACTTATATAACACACTAAGGTTTGAAAAGTGCTTTACAAATATTAACTCATTTTATCCTCACACCAACCCTTTGAGGTGGGTGCTGTTATCTCCATTTTTAACTGTGATCTGAAATCAACTGTGATTTTTTTTACGCCATTTACAATGTGTAGACTTTATTGCATTGTCATTAGGATTTTTTCGTGTGAATCTCTGTTTCTTCCCTTTACTCTGAATCTAAAACTGGTTGCCAAAGAAAGACCATCACATTGTAACAACTTATAGCAATTTCATTATGCTGGCTTATTGTTATGCTCCTTATTTCTGTCAGAAATTTGGAGGATAAAGTTACTGCTCATTTGCTGTAGCTAACATTCTGACTTGAATGGCTCTGCCATCCTAACTGCTCCATCTTTTAAAACGTACTAAAGAGACATCTCCCATTACTCTTTGAAATAGAATTTCTTGTTTTAGTGTTGGGATGTTTTAAAATAGAAAATAAAGGCTCATTCTAACTCACAGTCCTCAATAATGGCCTGCTACTAAACCTGAAAAATGGTTATAGCAAATTGCATTTCAGCCTAGACCTTGGTAGGAGCAAATGGTCCTTCCTTCCCTTTGTTCATTCAATGGCAAGTTAGTCATTAGGCATTTATTAAGTGGTTCCAGCCGCTGAGGGGCATGGAAGGATGAATAAGAAAGTCCGTTGCCCCTAGAATATTACAGTCCAGTAAGAAAAAGGAATTTGTATACAAATCACTATGATACATACTAGAACAAGGTAAATTTTATAAGAGATGAATTAAAATAAAGTCCTGCGTATGTGCATGTGCAGAGAGGAACTGGTTATTTCTGAATGGGAATATTAGGAAAACTTTAATTGAAGAGGTCCTGTATGAGCCAGCCCTTGGAGTGAGGTGTAGGATTTCGACTGATAGAGATGACATGGAAGGACATACCAGGCTGAGGGAGTAGCTTGAGCAAAGGCAGCAATAGACAACTTAGAACTTCTGAATTACTATAAACATAATATTTTCCACAGAGTTTTTGACTTTTGTATTCTTTACTCCCTCTGTTCTCATAGAATGATTTCATGGATGCTCTGGACACTGTAAAATTCACCTCTTTTAGGTGACCTACTCAGGTTGAAAAATACCATTTTTTTCCCCCTGGTGGAAAGCTATTGTGAATTACTTTGCTTTCCAGTGGCTCACTTACATTTATATTAGTAATTTTTTTCATAGTTATTATGCTTTGATATCTTTTAAATGACTTTAGAGACTCTGTGATGGTTGGAGTTTTGCTTTAAGTTAAATAAAAGGTAGTCTTACTTGCCACTGAATTTCTTAATGCTTGGAGAGAGGAGGAATCTCTTTATAACTCCTTTTCAAATACTAGTCTTTTTTATTTGCCCTTGTACTCATGACTTTGTGTGGCCAGTCAGAACATTCTTTTTGTTGAAGTAACTCTTGCTGTCATGGCTATTTTTGAATGTTCGTTGTTCATACTTCAATATTAGCCTAATTAGTTTCCCCTCATTAGTCATTATTCAGAAATATAATTCCTTATTTTCAACACTGTACCTGTTAGGAAGTAGGCTTTAAGTAACAGTTTTGAATAAAGCTTACATTTCCAGGAACTAACACAGATAGTGGTATAGATGTCATGAGCTAGTAATTGATACCTGACTTTGAAGACGAATGAATTAGCACAACCATTTTATTCAGCGCATGCAGGTGGTTTTGAACTCACCTTGTTGTAAGATCTTATCTTGCTTTTTGTAACAATGGAAATGAAGGTCTCCCAAAGAATGTAATTCTATGCAAAAAGAAAAAAAGATTATGATCTCTTTAGAAGGGTCTGTGTTCTCTACTGAGGATTGCCCTGAGTCTCTTAACTTCCCTGAACTGTGAAAAGGAGGGATAGGGCTAGATGATCTCCACAGTTCCCTCCAGCTCTAGCATTCTGTGATTCATAAGCTGTGCTAATAAAGGTGTGACCTTGAACAAAGTATTGAGTCCTTTAAACTCTACAGCAGAGCCGGGGGTTGAACACTCTGGTTGATACTGGGTTAAGGTAGTGAACCTGACAGTCTCTGGTAACAGTAGTGCTTTTTAAAACAACAAATTCGAGTAACTTTTTACTTGATTGCTGTGTTTAAGTCACACATTAATTACATCCTTGATATACAGAGATCAAAACCAGGATAGTACTTGTCCTCAAGAAGCTTGAAATCTTTTTTAAAAATTCCGTCTCTATTAATTGTTAATAAAATCAATTAATTCTTGAATTATTTAAATGGAGAGCTTTAAGCTTTAATTCAACTTTTTTTATTAAAATCTTTACATTTTAGTGCTAAATAGTCTCATAAGTTGTTTCTTCTCTTTTCTTAAACTTTTGTACACTTGGCAGCTTCCTTCCCATCCAATCACACCATCCAGCAAACATTCAGACAGCAAGCCAGTGCCACTGACTCCTGCATACCACACGCTCCCACACCCTTCACATCATGGGACTCCACACACCACAATTAATTGGGGACCTCTGGAGCCTCCTAAAACTCCCAAACCTTGGAGCCTGAGCTGCCTGCGACCTGCACCTCCTCTACGGCCTTCAGCTGCTCTCTGTTACAAAGAGGTGAGGTCCTGCTGCCATTCAAAAGGGTTAATGTAAGAACAACAGGATCATGGTAGAAAACTGAACTTCAAATTTGGGGCTTAAATTAACTACCCTATGTTTACTCCCCAGTTTTCATTTTAGCTAATTCTGGAATATTGGCAGTTCAGAATTTGTGATTTCCTTTTTTTATGCAGGCTGGCTTATTCAGAGCTATAAGGACTATGTTTTCTGTCCTTATACTTTTATACTTTCTTTCCACCCAATTCTTCCAGTGCCTTGGTCATTAGGCCTGGTTGAAAATGATCCCGTCCTTACATAGGATTCTCTTCTTAAGTTGGACCCTGCCAAAAGCCTTCTTTTAAGAAAGGATCATTTTTATACAGTAGAAGGCATCATTGACAAGTGTTGTTTCTACAGCATTCCTCAGTCTTCACCAGCTTACATAGCAAGGCGATTGAAAAATAATTTCATGTGGGCTTCCTGTGTGACTGTTTCAGAGCCTGAAATTATTTTTAACTTCTGGTTGGTGGTAGGAATCATTTCATTTTTGCATGTCATGCTATTGCCCTTTTTAACACTTTCAGTAACTTTGCAATCTCATGCAAGATACATTTCCTTTGATTGGTCATCAGAAGAAGCTATATGATTTGAAGAGTGAAGTTTGAAAAAAAAAGCAAAAGATATTCTTTGTCAGATCTTCTCTGTTTTGCCTGCAAGAAAACTGATTGCCTCATTCCAGCCTCATTCACTTCTTTCCTACTTCTGCAGCTTCGTATAATGTACATAGTGCTTAGCAAACTGTGAAATCTAGTTTAATTTATCCACAAAATTAGTACAATTACATTAACTTTCAATCTGCCCTAAAGTTCTGCCATGATAAAGAAATGAAATATTCATCTTAAATTGTGTAAATAGAACTCAGATGCTTACAACAAAGGTGTCTACATCTGTAAAGGCAGATGCTGGTGTGGGAAATGATGAGTGTGTTGAAATATTTCTGCCAGCCATTAAGTCATGATGTGAAATTGACAGCCAGATTTGCAGAAGGAGGCATATCAGACATTCTATACATTAGGCCCATACTTAGTCAAGCACTGAGTATTTCTGAGTACTTGCAGAAGAAAAGTATGGCACAAGAAGTAATAATTCTTAACATTTCTTTGCTCATTGTTTGTTAAAACCTGTTTTTGTGACATGTTCCCTTTACTTCCTTTTGTTGATTGCCAGGAGTCCAAATCTAATAATATTTTTTATGACTGCCCAGTAATGAAGATTGTTGTTTTTTTTTTTTTTTTTTTCTTTTTTTTTTTTTTTTTACTAAACAATTGAATAGACTCTAGTCCGAAGGGAAGATGGACTTAGAATACTTTGGGAAGTTTTACCTGTAGAGCTTAAAACTTGGGGCATTGGTATTCTTATTAGGAGTGGTTATACCCTCAAGTAAATGAGAAAGATAAGCGAAAGCTGGGCAAGAGAGGAAAAAATGTAAAAATGGATCATAGATTTGGCGGTTGTAATATTATTACTTAATTATTAATTGTAATTGTAATTAATAAGTATTATGCGTATTAAGAACTAAGTTTTTTGTTGCCTTCATGACCTCTAGATTGGGGAATAGAGTTTATATACTCTTTAGGACCATTACCCAGAGGCCTTAGCTGTTACTGAGAGCTTCAAGCCACTTGCTGAAAAACATATTGTCCCTATGTTTGCTATGACTTGGACTACCTTTGGCCTTCACTTGGAAGAGGTCCTTTATAGTGAAGTAAATTCCCTGAAAAAGATGTTGATTTAGTCCCTTGGCTACTTTACTATGACAAACTACTTGACATTGGTATAAGAATTATAATTTATAGATTTTCAGACCTCAGTCTGATTTTGTATAGCAATAGGGACCCGACCTGTGATTTCATTGGGATAATGAACTGCCCCATAAGGAAATTCCATCTTACCGATATAGGCCAGCACCTTCTCTGCCACTTAATCTTAGAAAACTGCCTAGGGAACAGAGAAGTTAAGTGAGTGCTCAGAATCACACAGCCAGTGTGAGTCACAGGTGGTACTTGAAGCCAGGTAATACTGGCTTGCAGACCAGCTGTCTGTTCACTTTGCCATTTGTTCTTACATGTGTATCTTTTTGTATTGATTTTTGTCCTGTATACGTGATATGTTCTTTACAAGCTTTAGATTTCTTTCTTTTTTTTTTCTTTTAATAAAAAGCCAAGTGATGGCCACAAAAAGCAATTTTTTTTTTTAACAGAAAATGGGACTTAGTTTATAGAACCCTTTCTGCCTGGCTCCCCTTAACACATCTCTACTTTTTAATTTTCACGTTCTCAATTTTTTGGTTTAATGCACCATTTATAATTTAAATTATGTGGCACTTGACCTAAAAATATATATACAAACCAGTGTTTGATAAAAGCTCAGATGTTCGAAACTTCATCCCTCATTGGTCTTTGTCCTGCTTATTCACTTTTTTACTTTGTTGTTGTGCACCTTTTTTAGAGGATGTCTTGTATTCTGAAGGTAAGGGGTGGATTGGTGCATTTCTTTGACTGAAATTAGCATGTCTATGCGTAGAGCAGCCCATGCTGTATCTCTGTTGCTGACTTCCTTTGCTATAGGTCTTTCCTTTAAAAGCAGATTAACTGCCCCCCTACTACCCTGTCCTCCTCTTTTGTGGTTTAAAATGCTTTCTTCAATAAATCATTATCATTGTGTCAACTGACTTTCCTCTCAAAATCACTGCCCTGAACCCCTACCCATTTTTGGTTAGATCTATCAGATGGGTCTACCCCTCCAATATTAACAGTTCCCTCGGCCTAGGTATATGTGAGAATGTGAGTGTGTGTGTATGAGAGAGAGAGAGAGTGTGTGTGTGTGTGTGTGTGTGTGTGTGTGTGTACACGAGAGAGTGTGTGTGTGTGTATTGTGCCATCTGCCATTTTTCCTTCCTCTTCAATCTCTGCCAGCCTGCCTGCACCACTTGCAGCAGCTTTGCTGAATATTGTTACAATATTAATAGGATATCCAAGTGACACAAGAAATGTCTGCTTTCCCAAGAGCCAATGGAGAAATAGCAGCCAATTTGACTAAAACTGGAAAAGGCTTATTCTAAATTTATGTCCAGTAGCTGGCAAATTAAAAAAAAATATCATAAAGGAAAAAACATAAAGCTCATAACAATGGCTGTAGTGTTGTAAGATTTCACACTTAACAACAACCCCCACTGGTTTACCAGTCAAAACTTTTAGCTTATGAGAATTTTGAGCAAAACGGGTTTCTTAAAATTCTTTTCTCTAGGATCTCAGTAAGAGCCCTAAGACCATGAAAAAACTGCTACCCAAGCGCAAACCTGAACGGAAACCATCTGATGAGGAGTTTGCATTGAGGAAAAGTAAGTAAAACTAAGTGAGGGTATAAATACCTTCATTATCAGACAGATCAGAAAGATGAAATAAGATTCTTTTTCAAAGTGTCAAGCAGAAATCCGGAGTTTGGTGCTTTAGTACTTTTGTCCTGGGAAAGTAAGCGGAATTTAATAAATCCTAATGCCTGGAGATATCTGAATATTGCCTGAGCTGGTTACAAGGTTGGAAACAGACTAACTTCATTTTTTTTTTGTCCAAGGAAACAGCAAATGATATTCATTGTAGGTGGGAAAAAAAATCTCTAAACGTCAGGTTGGTATCCATTGGGACTCCTTTGATGAATGAGCTGGTCTATTTCTGGAACTCCCTGTGTAAGATATCTCCACATAACAGTAGGTGTTGCCTAGTTCTGCCTTCCTTGGAGGTCTTAGAGGTCTGATATTAAATCATAGTTTGAAGTGAGGGCTGTGGATCCCACACAAACTACTTGAGCATGAGAGCTTTGACCATAGTAGATGGTATTTCAATTAAGGATCTTACAAGAAACAGTTCAATTCAACAAATTTGTAAGTGCCTATTAAGGTTTCTGTTCTAGTTACCTGAGATACAAAGATGAAAAATGACACAATCCTTATCCTAGAGAAACTTATGGATGAGATAGAACAACTAATTTGTTAGAAAATTATTAAATGCATAAGAGAGATCAAAGAGTCGTTAGAAATTCAAAAAAAAAGATCATTGCTAGTTTTAAATGAGTTTTAAGAAACTGGTGTGTGAACTGTGTCTTGAAGGATTTTTTAAAAATGTAAACTTTGTAACCACTGTCAATTTTTTTCTCTAATACTTCAGAAAATCTGTGATAATCCTGATGGAGGTATCCCTCCTGTAGCTCATATCTTAACTCATTTAACCTCATCCTATGTAATTCTTGTCGATGTACCCTTATATATTGAGAACATAATGCAAAATTTGATTAGATGAAATTTAATAGACATAAATGTAAAAGGCAGGAAGACATGAGTACAAGACTTGCTTCTGACACATATTGGCCTTATGACCTTGGGCAAATTATTGAACCTTTCAGGGACCAAGACAGTTCTCTAAGTTGCAGAACAGGTGCTGATCTGCATTGGAAGAAGGATTTTTTCTCTCAAGAGCTCCCTGTACTAACATAATCACAAATCCAATAAAACAGACAATAATTTCCCAAGTACACGATCAAGGAGCTTTGTCCAAAAACAGTTCATTGAAAAACATTTGGAGTTTTAGTGGCCCATAAGCTCAGTTCAAGTCAGTAGTGTGATATGATAACTAAGAAAGGTATTGAAATCTTAGGCTACATTAAGAAAGGCCTAGTATCCAGGTCTATAAAGTTTGGAAGATGAAATTATTAATGTGCTAGTCAGTAGTCTCTCAACTTCTCTGCCTTAAACAGTGAGAAATTTTTAGGATCTGTCCCAATAATTGCAGATCTTCATCAAACTGTATCTTGCCTCCAAGACAGCTTTGTGATCTTGATCTCATTAGCTCATGATTTAATATTCCTGTTGTTTTTGGGGCTTCTGGTTTGCCCCATCATTCTATCATTTCTATTTCTCTTGATCCTCATTCAAAAGCTTTCCCGACTTTCTTCAGATTTGCGAACTTTTTCCTGGATGTTTTCTTAATAATAGAAGGCTACCCTCACTCAATTTCTGCCTATTTGGTTCCTGTGAAATTATTTTTTCATTTACTCATTCATTCATTCTGTCTTCTATTGTTGTATTCCAAAATCATGTGCCATCTATATCTTAAGCCTTAACTTCCTAGGAGGTCATATTTACCTGCACAAGTTAACATCTTTAGGTAATGTCCTTATACAAACTCCCTCATTAATATGAATATTTTTAGCCCACAAATACTGTTTATTTTTTCCAAAAACTTTTCTTTCTTTCTTTCTTTCTAAAGAAATCTTATAGAGTAGAATGTAACATAGACCAAGCCTAGTTCAGTAGGTAGATAGCCTGGGCAGCTAGAACCACAAGTTTTATTCTCAGATCCATGCTTACTTATGAAGTGATTGTGGCCAGGTAACATTTCATTTCTACTTCTTTCCTGTCTTTGTCTCCTCAGAATTACTCTGTACTCCTGTTGTTCTTTCTTGGTTGAACCTATTACACTCTGAAGTGTTTGGCTTAGCAGCTGAATCTGGACACTTTTTTTCCTTTACTCTTTATAGTTTAAAGCCCTCTTAATTATTGAGTCATGTTTCTTCTCAAAAAAAATTTCCCAATAGAGTCAAACAATTAAGCTGGTTTTCATTTATTTTTTATTTTTGTTTTTGTTTTTTTAGGACACTAAAAATCATTTTGTATTGCACCAGTGATTCCTGACATTTTTTTTTTAGTAGGAAGACCTTTTTAAGGTTAAGAGCTTCATAAACACACATAGGATTAAGTATCCATTGATGGAAAAAATATAGTGTGAGAAAAGTGACTGTGAATTTAATGCTAATTTTAAATGAGTTTGTATTTTGTTAATCACAAAATCCACGTACACTTAAATATACGTCAAAGACCTTTAGTTTACAAAAGGCATTTTTGCTTAATATTTTGCTGAAACTAAATAAAGGTCAAAATGGCAATGCATAGTATGCATGTGGGTTTGCAGCCCTTTTGTCGGAATCTCACGGTGGCCCAGGAGTCATTGCTTTTCACGTTGGGTACCACTGTATTATTAAATGGAAGGAAGCATTTGCAATGGTAATTTGAATGTAGCAGTATACTAGGACTGGCCCAGGCAGAATTGTTAAGGAGGCAGAGTTTGTTGCCTTCATCTTCCCATCTTCATTGCCTTACTAGGCTCTAAAGCAGCCCTCCATACCCACCTAGTTCTTGCTTCTATCTCTTGGCTTCCACCTGTCCCCCAGTCTGCTTTGGGCTTAAGGTGATAACAAATATGATAAACTCTTGTGCTAAATGTGCCAATATGAGATCTGTTTCCAGGTATCATGGAACTTTTTAAACTTTGACCTTTTGGAAACAAGACTGCCATTCTTGGCTATGCCATTAATAGCTCTATTATTTCATCTAGAATATCACTTATGCTGTAGGTGCATTGTACATTAGAAAGAGCACTGTATAAAGAAACCAAAAAAGTTTGAAGTCTTAGTAGTAGCTGGGTACCCTTTGGCAGCGCAGTTACTTACTCTCTGTGAGCCTTAGTTTCTTCATTTGTAAAACGGTTGTGATAGTACTTGGACTACCTTTCTTACAAATTTATTGTGAGAAAACTATTTTATAGGCTGTGAAACACCACAGAAATGTGAGAGTTACCTTTATTATCCCATTTTGTTCACTCCCCCTTAGATTGTAAAGGTTATAAGATGTTGAAGCATCTGGCATACACTCACAGGGACAAAAAACAAAAAACAAAACATCTCTGTCTGGATACAAACCCGTGGAGATTATAGTTCGTGGCTCCTAAACCACAGTTGTACAATATCATCACAATGCAGATCAAATGCAGCCTGTCTGGAACTCTGTGATCCACACTAATCTAGGATGAATGTGCACCAAAGTGATTCTAGGCCCCAAAATTAATTGACTCACCAGTCTCATCAGGAGCTAATTTAATGGAGCTACATATATATGATTAATTAGAATTAGATTTGTAGAGTAACAGAATTTTAGAATTGGAAGGAACCTTAGATGTCACGTACTCTAGCCCCTTCAATTAACAAATAAGGAAACGGACTCAAAGAGATTAAGTCTAAGGTAACACATAACTAGTTAGTAGCAGTTCTGGCATGAGAATCTGTTATATTCTGACTTCTAATCCACAGTTTTTTTCCCACTATACCACACAACTTCTTTGGTTAAAAAAATTGGTACTCTTACATAGAGTACTCTTTTTATTGTTACCACCCACATTGTGTTGGGTTCTAACATAGTAAAGACATATGCAGTCTTTAATACTTAACTACCTTTCTGAGTACATAACAGAGCAGACACAGCATTAGCACCTTTAGGAATTTCCCTGATATCCCTGTCAATTTAGACTTCCTTACCTAGAAGAAGTCTGGCTCCATAGTCATCTAAGATGATAGAATATTACTTAATTGAACAAATAATTTTGTTGCTTTAGAGTTTGGAGGGCAGTGTTCCTCTCAAATATCTCAGATAAAATAGAAAAGTTTCCAGTCTAGCATCCACACTACTTTTGCATGACAGAACCTTACAATTATAGAATTGATAGGAACCACAGAAGACATCAGTTCCAGTGCCAGTACAAATGAGAAACACTCAACGTGTGTTTTCACAAAAAGCTTGCATATATTATCAGATGCATTGCTACATTTAAAAATTTTTTTTTCTTTGTGAGGGATAAGAGATCAATATATTTGAAAATAACTGTGAAGTAAAAAACAAAGGCTTAAAAACTTAAAAAATAAAACTTAAAAATGTAAATATGGGAAGCACAGTTACTTTGCAGTTTTCAAAATGCACAATTTATTATAAAAATGAATTGTTACCGTATGTCAAGACAGTAAAGAAGGAAATAGTGATGGCTGACCTTGAAAATTCTTCATATTTTCTCACAATATAAAGCTAAATTTGTAAAACTATCCTCAAAATTGGAGCACCTGTTGGGTTAAGTAGGTTTTGTAAGGGGTTGGTTGAGATAGGACTGAGAACTATGTAGAAACCCAAATAAAACTGTCATGAATCTGAATACAGTCTTTTGGGAACTAAGTGCTTTCTGAATTGTATTTTTTTCCAGTCTTCTCTTTGCTATGCGCCACAAGATATTTAATGAGCTTTCCCAGTTTCCAAGTGACATCAGCCAGTCTTGTAGATACTATCACTGATAAGTAGTAAGGAAGTAGGAGGCTATGAAAATTATCTGGATATGTATTATGAAATTACCTATCATTTGATCTTGATTTTCTTAGTTCACAAAAGCATGGCATGCTGTGGAAAACTGTTTGGGAATTGGCTTCAGGAATGAAATTTTAAATCCATGTCTTACTACTCCTTAAACTCAT